TGTTTCCTAGTTTTTTTCTTTCGCTTTGTTTTAGAAACTTCTTCTTCATCATCAATTTTGGAAGCTTTTTTCTTTCTTATTTTAATTTTGGTCGAAATGCTTTTATCTTGAGTTGTAGCATCTTTTTTTCTTGTTTTATTTTTTATATTTAAACATATTTTCTTTGCTTTTTAGTTTTTCAAGATTAGCTTTCCGTTTCCTTTCTTTCTCCTCTAATTGTTCTTTTAATGGAGAACTTGTAAGTATAACAGACTTCTGCCTTCTACTTCTACGTGTAGCATGTGATTTTGGTAATATCTTTTGAGTTTGTAATGAAAAAATAGGTAATTTAATATTAGCAGTATTTGTCAAAGGCATAACTACAGCTTCGTTTGCAGGCTCTGATGGTGCTTTATTTGTATTATTTAAAATTATATCATTCTCAGCTACTGGCGTGTTTGATCGTACTGGCGAAATATAACTAGAATCATCTATTTCCATATTATTGATACGAGAACCTACTGTTGGATTAATCTCATGTTTCTGTGCTGCTTCAGTTTGTAATAGAGCATCAGCAGCCACAAAGTCTTGTTTTGAAAAACTCTTCGGTTTAATGGATAGATTCCTGTAGTTTTAAATCCTGAAACTCCTTTTTCAATCGAAGCGACTTTACAATAAGCTTTATTAACTATCTCAGCTAGATCGTCGTGTGAAATTTTTTTAAGAGCTTCTTTCTTTAGAAATTCATCGCATTCTTTACGATAAGCAGTTTTAAATGGTCCAAAAAAACATACATCTAAGGGTTGTAATCTATGAGAAGTATGTGGTACAAGTGAAAGCATTACAATGCCATTTTCTTTGCAATAATTATAAGAATTTAAAGAAATATGACTGTTGTGATTATCTAATATTAATAAAATTGGATTGTTTTTTGTACACTTCACATAATCTTTAAAGTGATATAACCACAACATAAATAATTCTGTATTGGACCATCCATTAAGTGAGCATTTGTATATAGCTCCAATCGGACCATTTTTTGACAGTGTATCTTTCATTCGTTGGCGAGGAAAGATGAACATAGGCGGTACAAAGTTACCTGCGGCACTCATAGCACAGATTAGCGTAACATTCTTACCTCGCTCTGCAGTAACGATAGAAGCAACACGCCTCTGACCTTTTTCAGCGACAATATTTTCTGGCTGTTGTACATTAGAAATACCTGTTTCATCCATATTCCATATTTTTGATGCTGGAAAGTTATATTTTTCAAAAAGTAACTCCAGATTGTCGAAGAAAATATTTACATCACTCTCGTTGAAAGATATCACTCGATTAATACTAGTTTGTTCAGGTTTGCGAACAGCCATATTAGTTCTTTTCAAAAAATTGCAAAGCCAATCTTTTCCAGCTAATTTTGTCTGTCTGTTGAATTTATTTGGAATGTTATTCCGCTGTGCAAAATAATATGCTCCACTACGTATTTGTAATGGAGTTAAACCATAAAATAGGTTCGCCAATGTTTTTATCTCTTCTGCCATAGCCTTTTCTTGTGCTGGCGTGAAAACTGTCTTCCCACCTATTTTTGGATCACTTATTACTCCTGTTTGTATTCTCTCTCGCAGTGTACTAAATGGAATATTGTAGTTTTTTACAGCTTGGCGTATTGACATGGTTCCTTCCTTAACTGTTTTTACTGCATTGTATAAAGTTTCTTTATTCCATTTTCCTTTATCTGTAGTTCTCTCTCTTTTTCGAGGCATCTAAACAATAATTAATTCAAAATTTCAATGTATTACTTTATTATAATATGTATAACCTACATAAACGTACTTTAAATAAATATTTTAATTTTTATATATTACGCATAAAAAAATCATAAAAATTAATCCTTAAATGTCTTGTGCATATTTTTTACGTAACTAAGTATCAACTTACCTTATTTATTCTCAAATAAACTTAACAATTAATAGGTAATAACGTAAGACCACCTACGTAAGTAAATAATGACAGTATGTGACATAACTTCTTCGCACGCCCGAGCGCCGCGATCCGCACTCCGTGATTCTCATGACCCCGATTGTTTGCATAGTTGAAAAAATACGAGAAAATAAAAAAACATGGATAATTATGTTTCATTTTTTGTTATATGAAAGCTTTAAACAACCAGATTACAAGTAACCATAAAGTACGGTATGCATGAGAATTTAAGTATGCTAAAAACCTTATTATAATGTCATTATTTCTTATATGAATTATCACTGAAAATTTTCGTCAAATGTATCTTTTTTGTAATTATTCGTATATGCATAATAATGTAATATTTTAGATGAATTTTATATGAAGTAAAAGTTTAGATAAAAAGTAATATATATTATTCTTTAAAATTCTCATAATTAAGATGAT